AAAAAAGTAATTAAAAAATGAATTTGGTTAAGTGTTAATCGAACGATCACAAACAAATCATTTTGCTAATCAAACGAACTCGAACAGCCATTCTGTGTTCGTTCCAGTTCGAACACGATTTCGAACACCCCTTGGTGCTTATCGAACGAGTTTCGAACATGTGTGTTCGTTCGTGTTGGGTTCATTTGCAAGCCCAGGTTAAGATAAATTAGTTAATGAATTATGTAAAGATAAATGTTTATTTAAAACAAATTTTTTGAATTCAAATGTTTCGAAAATTATATTATGAGATAAACAAAGGCTGTAAAATTATAATCAACCTTAAAATAATTATAATTAAAACAAAATCAAAATAACAGTATTTTGGTAATATGTCTTTTCCTCTAAAATAATTAAAATAAAATTTATATATGAATAATAAATTATGTGAAAACTATTCTAGCATTTTAATGATTTTTTAAAATAATTTATAAGAATAATGATGAATAAAAAAAAGTTGTTTTAAGTTGGTAAGTTATGAAAGGGGTAAAACAGACTTTTGAATTTAAAATTAGATAGAACTTCAACCTATCATTAACAGTAGGGGTGTTTGTAATACATTCCAAAGAAGCAATGAGTTTAACACTAATCAATCTCACAACGTTGTAAATAAAATAAATCTTTTTCTTATAACCAATAAAGATCATGTGGTTTCAAAACTAACATAAAAATGATCATATAAGAGAATTGGGATAGTTAAAGATAACTGAGGTTTGTATAATGAATTACTCTTCTAACTTGAGAAAATTACAAATTGATAGTTTTAGAAGGAAAATTAAGATAAACTAAAAGTTAAAACGGGGGATAATCCTTTAATTTAGTGTTTGGATTGTGTTTAATGGTTTGAAGTTAAATTTATCCCTTTAATTTGAAATATCAATGTGACCTTTTTTTGTGAATTTTAAAACTTAGGTTTATTTTATAAGTTATCTTAACAAACAAATCCTAAATTGAAATACCCGTTTCTTAAAATGCAATAATATAATCCAAAATCCGACAAAAATTTGTTGTACTTGTGACGTGGTGGGACAAACACAAAGAACACCAATTATTAATAATTTAGATTTTAGATTTAAAAGCGAAATTTATGTGAAGGGTATCTTAAGCATAAGAGATATGTCACTGTTTTGTGGTCCATACGATTTAAATTACAATAGGCCCACTAAACAACGATACAAAACCCCAAAAGTAAGAAAAGCTATGGACCCCACTTCTTTTCTTCTTTTTCTCTGTCATAGTGGACCCCACATCGAATGTCACCTGCTTCCCGGCAAGCAACCGGTTGCTTTTCTACTGGTTGACCGCCTATAGAAGGTTATTAAAGTGGTGGGGTTTGGGCCCATTGGGCCCAACCTCGTTCCAGCCCATCACGTATGGTTCCTGTCAGGTAAAGGGGTGGCAGTGGGTGGGTGAGGGGACAAATGAACGATGGTTTTTGAGAGATTTTGCTACTGTTACACGAGTCTAGCATTTGGACACATGTCAATTTTGTGGACAACCAATTTATTTCTGTGTGGTTGTGCAAGTTCAACATTTATGTTTAGAATCTTCCTGTACATTAATTATTTAATTTGACAATGTTACTGAATGTTAACTGTTAACTACTAATGCCTTATGTCAGCTTTCTCATTTAAAGGGCACTTACCCACCAAAGGTTTGGCCAATTTACAAGGTTCCACGCATAGTTTCATATATTGCAAATTCCCACGCTATTTTAAGATAAATTTTGCTTTTACCACTAGTCAAATATTCTTTTTACCCCTTATCATAATAATGAGTACACAAATAAATTACTTTTTAACCCTTAAATTAATTGAATTAGAAAAATACTCATCTTTCTTTTAAATTTATTTTAATAACACCCTTTTCTTTAACCTCCCTCTTCTCTATAGCGGCCAAATCTCGGCAACCAGATCTCGCTGTCAGGATCTTCTTTGCCTTCTCTCTCTCCTTTTCTCTTCTCTATGATGACCAAATCTAGTCGTTGATGGTGTTGTTGTTGGTGGTGGTGGTGGAGGAGTTGGAGGTGGAGAGGAAGGGTTAGGTTGTGAGAAAATTTTGAGATGTAGAGGGTTATTTTGAAATTTTTCTAATTTGGGGGAGTGAGAGAGATTAGTGTTTACTATTTTTTGAATAAAAATACCTAATACCCTTTTAACTGTTAAATTTAACGTTTGAAATTAAAATTGGGTGGGAATTTGCAATTTATGAAACCACAGGTGGGAGCTGGAGATTCGCCAATCGTTGGGTGGGTAAAGTCTTTTACTCTTTTATCTGTGAATTACCTGATAACTACGGATGTTTACAGTCATCCTTGGGATTGGGAGTTTGTTGCACTTTGTTCCAATATTAGGGAATACAAACACTTCAATCATGTTAGATGATTGAGGTTGATGGTGTTGGTCTACCTTATTAAAAATATAAGGGGTTTCTCAACTGTAAGTTCTGTTAATATGTGAAATTTACCGTTACGATGTTAAGCAAATGGGCTATCAACACTAATGCTAGATGTCTTATATGATTAGAGCATTTATATCCTATATACACTAGGGCAAAATTAATATACCTCAAACCTTATGGATGAAAGTATAAATATTCTACTATTATCTATTATATTAAAAGGGAGTAATACTTGTACAAACTATCTATATAAACTATTTCCTAAAATTTGGTGTGAGAATCCTTTATGTTTGACATGTAATCTCCTTTAATTATTTAATTTATTTTTATTTTAAAATCATCAAATCATCTTAAAACACGTTGATTTGTATAAAATTTTTGTACATGAAGTATCATCCTTTTGTGAGGTTACACATGTCTAATAATAATTTTCATCGATAAATAATAAAATGGGTTAAGATAGTGTAATTTAAAATTTTGACATAATTTTAAATATTTTATATAAGACGTTCATCTTTGTTAATCCAATGATTGTAAAAGAGAAGTTAAAGATAATATCAACTCAACATATTCTATTGCATAAAAAATGATTATCAAATCACGAAGAGTGTCAAAAAAGTAATAAAAAATCTAAATCACATTATCTTGACCCAAATATAATTAGGTTAGATTTTACATCTAAATGGAATTTGATATGATTTTATAATTGGCTTTTTACTCGGTTTCTCTAATGGTTTTCAAGCTTAAATTGTTAATGTGTAACACATTTATTATTTTCATATTTATACAACATGTGAGGTGAGCAAGTAAAAAATTATACCATGTAAGAAGCATGTGAATTTGGTAGATGGAGGCAAAGAGGATGGTATGACATAAATTTTAGAAAATTTCCAACATCAAAAAAATTTCATAATTTTATCAAACATTAATGAAAAAAATTCAAGTTAAGTAAATGAAAGTGAAGGAATTAATGATAATTATAGATTAATTTAAAAGACAAACAAATAGGTAAGCTAAAGTAATTAATTTTCAAAAACCCCCTTGTAGTTTGATGAAAATTTAACATACCTAAGGGTTTAAGAAAGTAATGCAAACACCTTAAACCTTAACAGACGTTAGTTGAATATGAAACATTAAAATAAAAGATGGAAGATTTTGATTTAAGGGTTATTACATTGCCTCTTAATTTCATCAACACTAGTGTTCTTATTACATATTTATTGAGATAAGTTTAAGTATAAAATAATATTCTAAAATTATTAAAATCCTCTGAAGATGTATCAAAATACTCTTTAAAGACCCTAAATATTTATAAAAGAAACATCATATTAAATAACTCATTTTTTGGGCCTTTGTTAAAGAATAGACTGTTCCAGAAAGTGTCTAAAATAATTTTTTTCTAAAATTTTAGCACCTTGTAGACCAAAGTAGCCTTTCTTCAACTAAAAACCCAAAGTCACTATCATAGACCAAATTAGTCTTTTTTTTAACTAAAAACCCAAAGTCACTACAAATAACCAACCGATGGACATTTATTGATCAATAATACTATACTTACAAAGATTTTCATACAAAGTGAGTTGACAAAAAATAATTAGAAGAGTGAAACAAAAAGTCAAACTCATTAAATTCACTATTCCATTCATTTTTTGCCACATCATTTTGTATGAAGATTTTTGTAAATTTTTTTGTAAATGTAGTGTTACTCTTTATTGATTGCTATCGGTCAAGCAATAAATATCAGAAGACTTTCAATCGGTTTCTATAAAATAGAATCCTGAAACAAAACAAACATTATTGAATCGAATTTGAAATAATCCTTTCTTTAACTAAAAATCAAAATCAACAATAAACATTTATCAAGAGATAGAAATCAATAGAATTTTCATCGGTTTTCATCAAATAGAATCTTGAAACAGTAGTAATTCTTTGATATATACTGTTTAACCAATAGTAATCGATATATATCTACCCAGATCACTTTGGGTTTTTTTTTTTTTTTTTTTGGTTAAGTAAGGGTAATTTGTTTTTAATACTGATTTTTCATACTATTTTTTGAAAGACTTTTACACATTGATTATTTTACAATTTACACCAAAAACAAGGTTAGTTAATATAATTTCTTTGATAAAATTAGAACACCTTATATTTAATTATTACAACATTTTACTTTCATATTTTGTGTCCAGTGTCTAATGTTACCCAATTTAGGTTTTATGCACTTACTTTTTTTTTTTCTTTTTGGATTAAGGGTATTTGGGCCAACTTGCGTCATGTTTAAACACACACAATTACGTCATAATTATAATTGTTTTCATTATTTTCTTTATTAGTGAAACAAAAATACTATATATATAAAGTTAAGATTTCAATTTTGTATTTTCTTTGATGACTTAACTCAGAAATATATTTTTAATTATAGAATAGTTAAAATGATTAAGATAAATAAAAGAATTAGTTAAAATCTAAGTTTGTATTTGTAGCATAAATGTAAATGTGACGCTTTGAGTCATAGCCACTCTTATTAATGCAATGCAAATTCTTTCTCCAATAAAATGAGACCAAACCAAGCCTTTACTCTCAACCTTTGTTCCTACTCAGAGCCTGCCCCCATTACCAGCGCAACCCATAAACTTTAAACAAAACATTGTGACATACTCCACTATGCTCACTCATCTTGTTTCTTCTCTCAAAACATGCTTAAACTTGAAGCTCTAGAAGCACAAAGTTTGTGTCTTTATATATATACTACAAACTAGTGGTGGTGGTGGAGGAGAAGATGAATAGTGGCGGTGGAAGTGGTGGTGGAGTTGGAACTGGGATTGGCTTAGTGGGAATGAGGTCACCATTTACAGTTTCACAATGGCAAGAGTTGGAACATCAAGCCCTGATCTTTAAGTACATGATAGCAGGTTTGCCTGTGCCTCCTGATCTTGTTCTTCCTATTCAAAAGAGTTTTGACTCCATTTCTTCACGCTTCTTTCATCACCCCACCGGTAAGCCCTCTTTGTTTGTTTTTGTTTTTTCTTCTTCTTCTTTATTGTTTCTTTTTTCTTGGGCGTGTTTGATTTGGTTTCACGACAAAAACTTTTTAAGCATTTGAGATAGGTTTTTATTTGTTTAACTTGTTCTTCTTGAGTTGTTGAGGCTAATGGATGTTTGTTGAAGAGATTATTAATGTGCAAGAAATGGGTTATTTTTTTTTCAGAGACTTTTTCAATCTTTTCTTTTCTTTTTCCTGTTGGAGCTTGTGTGTATAGGGATTTTAATTCCAAAAATTAACAGGCAAACGCCCTTTTGCCCTTAATTCATTCACTTTTAACTATTGGGGTCTGTGGATTATGTCTTACTTGATGAACTAAATCATATTTCAGGAGCAAAGCTTCATATTTGGCATTTCTTGAAAACTTTTTTAAAGAAAATAGAAGTTTTACTGGTTCAATCCCCTTTCTTTTTTTAGTGGTTGTTATCAGAAACTTTTCTTGCTGACTTCATTGCCTTTGACATGGATTTTATACTTAATTAAATCAAATCATGTAAAGAAGATAATTCTTAAGGATTTTATAATTATTTCTTTTGGGTATTGTGATTATTGATATTTAAAGATTTATCTGGTTGATGCCTGTTCTTTTTTCTTGTCTTTCTTTATTCATCCATGTGATGTTGTTAATCCCTTGATGGTGAAGTCTAATATTACTTTTAGCATGGTTCATTTATTCATACTCTGAAACCGTTGGCTGTAAAGTATCAAAACATTCATTTACAATCCATTATCCATATCTTCTTGTTCCTGATCATGCATTATTTTACTCTGAAGAAGAATAATGTTAAACTTTATCTTATGTTAGACTTGTTACATTTAGTAATGAAAAGTATGATGCATATGAAATTTTGTGCATAATTATGCAGTGGGTTATTGTTCCTTCTATGGAAAAAAGGTTGATCCCGAGCCAGGGCGATGCAGGAGAACTGATGGCAAAAAATGGCGCTGCTCCAAAGATGCATACCCAGATTCAAAGTACTGTGAGCGCCACATGCACCGCGGCCGCAACCGTTCAAGAAAGCCTGTGGAATCACAAACCATGACACAGTCATTGTCTACTGTGACATCACTGACTGTCACTGGAAGCAGTGGTGGGACTGGAAGCTTCCAGAATGCTCCATTACATGCCTTTAGTAATCTCCAAGGCACTGGTTCTGGAACCAATCCGTCCCATTATAATGTGGAGTCTATCTCTTATGGAATCCCGAACAAAGATTACAGGTATAGCATTTTTCTGAAAAGAATAAAACCATAAAGTACTTTTTCCATATTTAGTTGCTTGACAGTTAAACATTGTGGGAAAAGAATGAGACTAAGAAAATGAGTCTTCCATTAAATGAAAGAATTATTTTCCACTTATTAAGTTCATACACTCTTTGTTTCATGGTTATGTTATTTGCTATGATGATAAATTTTAAAGAAACATATGGCTTGAGAATTATTTCTATTCTATTTTCGTTAGGTTTTGCTTAAATGATTTTATGCAAGATCACTTTGTTGCTAGATTTTTAATTTTTTTGGTGCTCTGCATATGCTTTGTTATATGAATTCCACTTACTTTTAGCTGTCGTAGCTAATGTGAGAACCATAGATTGTTGGGCCCATGTCAATGTTGTGTGGTAGTGGCAAAATTGTGGACTCCTGCCATGTGGGTAACTTCCCAAGTTTCTGTTCTTCTCTGGGTTCTGGGCCCTGGTGTCTTTAAGGATGGATGATGAGCTCTTTAGTTTCCTAACATAATTTTTCTTCACTGACAGGCTTTCTCTTTGGTCTGGTTCTTTGCCTTCTGCTTTCTCTGTGAAATTTGTCCCAGAAATCTGACAACCATTAGGAATTGTCCTGGTCATGCTTGTAAGTGGATAAGTGTGAGTTCTATCCAGTATCTGTCTAGTGTTTAAGATGGGGTAGCTAATATTTCCTAAATTCTATTCAGTTTGCCTGAAGTCGGGGGCAGGGGGTTTGAAGGGGATGAATGGGATTGTCATTTTTTTCACAAGCTGCATAAATTTGAAAGCTTTATTATTGTTCTAGCATCCTGCACCAGCTATCTAAAAGACCACTTAACTTGTTCAAGCTTATTGTTTTCTGGAATGAGTTTTACAAACTCTAATGGTTAAAATTGTTGCTGATCTATTCATTGCTGGGCCCATTGATGAGAGTGATTGCAGTTATATATGTTGAAAGACTCCTACCATCTGTGTGTAACGGATACGTTGCATGAACTTTTTAATTTTATCAAGGCTCAGGCTTCTGGGCCCTGATGTCCACAAGGATAGTCGTCAAAGCCATTGTCTTTGCAGAGTGTTTATTTATTTTTCAGTCTTCTTTTTGTCTGCTCCTTTGCTTTCTGTTTCCTTTGTTAGATTCATGGCAGAAATCTGACAAGTATTCTGTACTAGTGGTAATTTATTGACCCTCAATCCTTTCTGTCAAAAGGGAAGTATGCAACAGATATACTCACTGGTTTTGCAGAAATGTTTATGTTAAAGGAATTATTGCATGTAATCTTCCAAAAGAAGAGAAATATTTAATCTTATAGATAACGGTACAGAGCAGAACACTTGCCCTCTATACAGAGCCCCGGACATCACCCTCCTTAATATCTTTGGTAATCACCATTTTCAGTTAGTTTTGGCAGCTATAATATTACATAGGCACCTATGTGTTTGTTCTTGTGGTTCTCCACCAGGTTCAAGCTTTTTGTTTTTTTCATTTTTCTTACTGCTCTTCCATACAGCACCTTGTCTTCCTGAGCTTATTTATCAGTAAAAACGAATTAGAGGAGGAAAACCTGTAATTGATTAGTTGATGTCCTAGCTCAACACAAGATTCTATCCTTCATGTGGAGTTTCTTTCTTCTATGTCGATAGTCTTCTAGACCATCATTCTTTAAAAATTATTTTAGCGATGCCAAAAGGGGAAAAAACAAATGGTGGACCTTACAATGTTTGACATGTGCCATTCTCACTTGGACAGTCTCAAATGCTGTTTTAGCTATTGCTTATCTCTATTGTGTAGGTTCTGCATATTTTTTAATGAACCAGATTCACGTAATCTTGTAATTACCAAATGAAGTTGAATCATGAATTCATATCACAATTTACTCAATTTCAACTAGGCTGAGTGAACAGTTATTAAAAACTTTCTGTGTGAGTTTATTATAGTGTTTATAATCATCAGCTTTGCAAGATTTATGTCTTTACATTTCATACTGCATTTGCATGTAATTACTTGATCATTACACCTGTGCTTCTTGTTGTTTGGACACTAAAAATTGACTAAACACCCACTCTTTTGTTCTTTTTGACTTCCGTGGGCGGTGCATTGATCCTATCTAAGCATTCTATTCATAGCTGTCTAGAGTAAGTACCTGCAATTTTTTCACTCGGTTGGTTAGGACCTGCTCATCCAGCAGCATTGTTCACTTCTTTGTTGGTTTTGGTAATGTTTGGATTAAGAAACACATTATATGCACAGAAACAAGTATTGCTTAAGAAATAAATTTAGCTTCTGGATAAAGACTAACTAAAACTGTGAACCGTTGCTCTTTGATCATGCTAACATATAGGTACCTTCAAGGAGTACTTAAACCTGAAGTTGGGGAGCATAGTTTCTTCTCTGAAGCTTCTGGAAGTAATAGAGGTATCCAGATGGAGTCACAGCTAGATAACACATGGCCTCAGATGCAGTCTAGAGTCGCCACACTTCCCCAGTCAAAAGTGAGCAACACGTCCATATTGCAAAATAATTATTCTCAGCACACATTTTTCAGTAGCGAATTCACTACTGGAGAGCATATAAAACAGGGGGGTCAGTCTCTTCGTCCTTTCTTTGATGAGTGGCCTAAAGCAAGGGAGTCATGGTCTTGTCTTGAAGATGAGAGATCCAACCAGACATCACTTTCAACGACCCAGCTCTCAATATCCATCCCAATGTCTTCATCTGACTTCTCGGCCACAAGTTCTCAATCTCCCCAAGGTGAGTTTCAAATATTTTTATTTCTTTTCACAAAATTAGATTCTCCATTTTAGTCTTGCTTGCATTTGCTGCAGATAATTTAGACGGCATACAGTGAGAATTGCCAGAGCTACATGGTGCCAATCACAAACGAGTGCTTATATGTTGAATTCATGGATGTGTCGAATCTCTGTAAAGGGCAGGATGGGTGCATAGATGTTGTGTAATATTTTGCATTTGCAGGTTGAAGTGTTAGGTATGAAATAAAAGAAACGAACTCTAGCAGGTATTTGAGAAGTAAAAATCTTTAAATTGTATTAAATGAATGAGTAACAACTTGACCTGCTTGGTTTTGAGTCTTGGTTACCGAATAAAGTTTTTGGTTTGTTTCATTTAGAATTTACTATCTCCATGTTTTGGAATCTGAAAAGTATTGCAGGGGACATGCATGACTCGTCATTGTCATTTATGGTACAAGTAGATGAATTTTGTAGTTAAAAAGTATATTAATACATTTTTTAATTAATTCTTGTGTGTATTGATGCACCGTCCAATACAGCCGCAATGATTGGATGCTGCCCAATGAGAGTATATAGTGCATTCTAATTGGGTGGTTGTACAAAAGAATTATTCTAGCTAAGTTGAGTTATTTCTAATGCAATACAAGATCCAAAGTGGCTCCCTCCCATATAAATTATTTGTTAAGTTACTCAATTAGTCACGTTATAGGGAATTATTCATTAAATTTGTAATTTCCTTGGTTTTGAAAAAAAATTAAGTTTTAAATGACACCATCCATGTTTTTTGGTTAAAAGTATTAATGAACTGTCTCCATCTAAGGCGATTTTAGTAAATTACTGCAATTGTGAATTCAGGGGGCCACAATTAGAAAAAGCAAAAGTATCAGGGGTGAAAATAGAAATAGTTGATATTCGTGTTCTGTTTTTAATAAAAAATGATAAAAAGAGGAAGGTAAGAGAGAGGGGGGGATATTATAGGGTGTCGGCGACCGTGCACATAGGGGAGCGTGATGAGAGTGACGTCACCCTCGTGGGTGGGTCCAATAGGCAGCTGGGAGTGGTGGGACCATCATCAAGTGGTCAGGCGTGTACAGTTGTTATACCGTACACCTGCATCGTCAATACTTGTCTTTTTTTGCTTAAATATCGTCGGGTCAACTTATTGCTCTTTCACCGACATCCTGTCATTTTTACTATTTATATTCTTTTTTAAGCTCACATGTTAAAGTGCAAAAATCTGCTATGCAAATTGCAAAAAGAAAAATACTTTATCCAGCTGAGGTTTCAGTCAATTCAAATACTCTATCACCCTTAAATTTAAAAACTGCTGGATGATTTTTCTGTTCTAAAATTAGAATATCTCTTATTTCGATATTGTCCAATGTCCAAAGTATCCATTGAAGAATGATATTAAAAAAAAAAAAAAAAAAAATACAAAAATGATATATTTTTTCTTAAATTCAAGAGGGTATATCTAATATTTTAAACCGCATGACTTGGATTAATAAACCTAAGGTACACACACATATATATAGAATAATTTTCTATCATAACTTTATTACTTAAATTTTATGGGAATCATACTTAAACACCATTTGATTTATCATCATTAGATTGAAATGATATTTTATAAATAAATCCAATAGTATTTAAGTATGGTTTTTGCAAAAATTAAGTAAAGACTTTATTACTAAAGATTTATTATATATATATTAGAACTTTTTTATAGTTATAATGGTGGAACAAACTATTTTAATTATTATAAAGAGATTATAATTAATAGAGGTGTAGTTACAAAAATTATTGTTTCAAACTTAGTTATCTCTAGTGCAAGTGGTATAGAGGTAAAATATGTATTATATTAATAATTAATTAATGGAGGATGTCAAATCTAATGTATAGATACTGATAAAAGAGATAGATATAAACATACTTGAGAATTTAGAAATATTTAAGGTTCAACAAGAAGGTGTCCATGTTGGTGAGTTATTACGTACTAACAAGCTTAAAAATGTGATAACAACTTTAAAATAAAAATCATTGTCTTTAACAACTTAAATAAATATTTTATTTTATCTTAAACCTTTAATATAATATAACATATATTATTTACAATATATAAATAATTATAACTTATAATAATATGAAGTTTATTCTTATTTATAACTGGTCCAAGTTGAGACCATATTTTTTTATGACTATATAAATGTTATTCTTATATACAGTATCACTATAGAGAGATTTATATAAAGATATATATGATTTTTCTTTTTGGATACTAATAGGAGTGACTTTTTATAGTTACATGAAATATTTAATCCTTTTCTTGAATTATTACTAATTTGTGACTTTGGTATTATTTTATGTTCTAAAACTTTATATATTTAACATGTTAAAAGCCTTCCTTATACCAAAGAATGGCTAATAGAATCAATGATTTACTACTTAGCAAATAGTAAATGAATGTAGTGTTACGTATTTATATAATCATTTTACAAGTATGCGAGTACTTTTATTTTTTCAAACTTAAGCCATACTATATTTTAGGAATAATTCAGCATTGTTAAAAGAAAAAAAAAAAAAAAAACCATCACCAACTTCTTCAAATGACTCAAATATAACCTAAAGAAAATTATGTATTTATAGACACCCTAAAATTATGAATGAAATGGGCATATGCTTTAAGAAAACGTGGCATTTGATGAATGTTTCTGAATGTAATGTATAAAATACGTGGCACAAAGTCAGAAGGTTGAGATTGAGGGTGCTTTAAGAGACACGAAAACATATGACACTACCAAACATTGGTCCTCCTTTTGCAGAATTAATAACATTTTATCCTCTAGGTTTAGAGAAGTATCACTTTGGTCCAATAAAATCTGGAAAAGTCTTTATAGTCCCTTTCATGCTGCCCAGCTAGAGCTAAGGAATTATGGACTGGTGTTAATGTTTGAAAATGAAATGTTTTTATACCCCCAATTTCTTATTAGAAATAATAATATAGAATAGAAATTAGTACTTTAAGATTAATTTAATAAATTACAATGAAAAAAAAAAAAAATGAATAGAATTTAAAACAATTAAATACATTTTCACAACTAAAATTAAAGATTTAAAAATAAAATCCCTAAATTTTATTTTTGTGGCTACAATTTAAAATTATAAAGGCTTCTTAACTCTGATGTCGCTAATGTTAATGTTTTGTGTAATTTAAAAAAGTTAAGAAAAATTTCATGGAAAAAGTTATTCATAATTAATACTAAAGTAAAAGTTGGACAAAAAGATCAATTTGGAAAAGCCAACATGTGCATGTTATGATCGTATTGGTTTAGATTTGTTTCATTTTTCTTTTATATTGAAATAATCCCATATATGGGTAACTTTACTAATTATAATTTCCAAAATATAAAGGTTTTGTTTAAAGTACAAATTTACCATAAAATCACTGACTTAACCTAATTTTCCTTAATGAGAAAATGACAAAATTAGCCGGAATGCGTTAGATTATCAGTCTACCACTATCTAGCATGGTCTAACTATTTAATTAGATTGTTAAATCACATGATTAAGTGTAGCAAGTCTAGTACTATAAATTAGAATAAACATTTATTGTTTAATAAGATATAATCGAAAGTTACTAGATTTTATGACTGAATTTGTACTTCAAATAAAACTTTAGCATTTACGGAAATTGTGATTATTGAGTTGACTATATATGTCTAAACCCCTATTTTTTTAACTACCAAACACAATATTGTATTTTTTTTTTTTGAAAGTGTGAACCGATTTTTCTATAAATCCAGGATTAGGGCATATAAATAACTCTTTCTAGTTTTTCATTACTAAAGAAAATTCAATCAATTATAAAAAAAAAAAAAATTAGCTTATTAATTATTATTTTTTATAAAGAAGAACTCAATAAAAAATTAAAAATTAACTTCACATAGCAAAATATTTAAGTTTAAGAAATCTCGTAAATTGTCAACTTGAAAAAATTATTCTCAAACAAATACTAAATCTGTTCCCAAGCAATAATTAAATAAATCTTTATAGTCCAACAATAATGATCAAATATCTAATAATTCTAACAAAAAGAGAAATTGTTAGAATGAAAATAAAATCAGAAGGTTGCAACATCACTTGACCCAACCTTAGATGTTATCACTAATTAGTTGTTTGAATCTTCGATCTGGGGGAATAATTTTTAAAAAGAAGAGGTAAGTTATAAATAACCTAGTGAGTGCACATTTTCTTAATAAAACTAATTTCATACTTTAATAAACACATCACGGAGAACAATTTGTAATCATAATTTAATAAACATTCCTTAATCCTACACATGCATTTAACAAACAAATAAAATATGCCATAAACATTACGCAAAGTTTCAATTAGCATGCCTTCTAAATTTCTATACAACAATAAATAATATTAATATTGTTAGAGCATTAAGGTCATGAGGACTTATATGTAAAAATGCATAATAGAAGGACTAGAACAAAAGGTTGTTATGAGAAGATTAAGTCAAGAAAGACTTATGTTGAAAGGATTGCTTAATACTTTCACTAGTATGACAAACGTAATGAGTCTTGAAGACTTGTATGCTAAGGAGAATTGTCTTTGGAGATGAAAGATACACCGAGAAGACAATGAAGCTATAACTTGGATTTTCTAATTTTGTGAAGCAAAACATTGAGTATGTTAAAGAAGTAAATATGCATATATGTATTGATGATGTAAAGCATGCGATACGTTTGATGGAACATATGAAACATTGAAGAAACATATTCATTATATGTTTGGAAGAATATATGTTATATGAATAGAGCGTAAAATGTTTGGAGGAATAAGAACATGGACGTGACTCTGGAATACTGGATCAATGCTTCATTTGAAGTAGAATGCATTGAATGATACATAGGAGAAAAAGAAGCAGAACACGTTAAGTTGGAGAACAATACATTAGTAAGCGAACATTTTTCTATGTTACTTTGTTTAAACTAATAAGAATTGTTGTTTGGTTTTATATACTAGGGGTGCACGGGTCCAAGTACTCAAAAAATCACAAGGAATCGAACCCAAACCCAAAACCGGCCTATTCTTGAGATTTGGAACCAGAATGAAAACCAGTTAGTTCTTGGGATTTGGAATTGGAATCTGAACTGAAATTGGCCGATT